GGTGTGATTAACTTTTGGCGTCTCTAGATTCAACTCAGGACTTTAACCGCGCAGTTATGAAACCAGGTTTTTACTGTTGGTTCTTCATAGTTACCTTATGAAATTGCATGGAAGCACCTTCAAACTGATTCAAAATGATCATTTATTTGTTATACATTGTAAGTGGTTCAGTCGCATCAAGCCCTGGACCTCACGCAACACTGCCTTGCTGAAGCTCAGAACATTATCGGTGACTACAATAAGGCACTAGACTCATTAATAATGTAGGCTCTAAAGTTTAGATATGAATTTTTTGTGATCATCTTCAGAAAGTGACTACACTGGAGCTCCATTCCTAGGGAGCAGAAGACTGGGAACATCAGGCATCATTTGATCGCTCCGAATTCCCTTGAAAGTGGTGCTAAAGCAGCCATAAATCTGAATATAAGTGAGTAGTCTTTAATCTCTTTGCAATGTGTCATACTTTTTTGTTCCTTGAATATTAAACAGAGGGCCAGGCATTTCAATTCGGGGATGTATTCTGATTGGTAAAAAAATTATTCACTGTTTGCTATTTCCAAACAAAGGAAATAAACTTAAGTTTCACACAATAATTCCTCTTAATCAACCGTAAAGGAAAAGTTATTGTTAAGCTACAACTTATGAAAATGATTCATTTTCCGAAAAAAAAAAAATTGACAAAAGGCGCATAAAGACTGACTAAAAAGCAATAGTGACAATAAATCTAAGACGTCTCCCGGCTAAAATCACTGGGTCACCAGTTGCCCGTTCTTTTACGCTCGTTTCTAGGAGAAGCCGCAAAAAGCCTAAGGAGAAACTAGGTGGAACACTAGATTACCCCACAGGAACTGCTATTTTTAACGCTCGAGACTAGTGCAATCTGTGATGTCGATAGGCTGTCCGAAAGGCGATAAGTATTATTTATGGATTTCTCTACAAAACTTACGGTATCACCCTAATCAAAAGAAAATCACAGAAAGAAAAAACTACACTATCAGAGAGGCTGTAAAACGAAAAAAGTTGCACCAACTCTGATTAAATTTCATCATGTCTCGGGAAACTCGGCCTCAAAGCCTGTAGTTGATTAACGTATTCACTGCTATTGTCATCTTTTTCAGACTTCAAAAGCAATGCATACGCGCGTGAATTGTCAGCTGACATGTTAGTATTACCGGCATCGCTGAGAGGCATGTACACATCAGCATATTCCAGCCAAAGAAAAGAAAATGAGCAAAATAAAGATGTTCTTTACTGACTCTCAGCCTGGGTGTGTTCTTAGTATGTTCTTGAAATCTTGTTTAGTCTCAGCCTGGACTTCCTGATGAAAAAGGTTCTTATAAAAATGGAATAGTGTATTCACCGTTTCCCTAAAGGTTGTCGTCCTTTTCCTCTTTAGACGGCAAAAGTGATGCATATGCACAAGAATTTTCGGCTGTCCTCTTAAGATTGGTGAGAGGCATGTACCTATTTGCGTAGTCCGAAGTCTTTATTTGATTGACGTACTCGTGTTCTTTCCCATTATTTTTCTCTACTGGCGTGTACGGGTGTGCGTAGGTGTAGAAACAAGCGCTTGACGCTTGCGCATATACAGGAGTCTGGGCACTGTCGCTAGGCACCTACGGGAAAGACAAAAACAAAATGTGTTTAGTCAATACAATATTTATTAACCGATTTGTGAACGAGGGCAATAACCTTATCACTTCTCTTAAAAGAGGTCAAAGACCCCGTGGGGAACTAATTAAAGTTTCATACGGCAACGCCGCATGAAACTTTGATAAGCCCTGGGTCCAGATTCTAAGCCTTAACTCTTTCATGAAAACGCTGAGGAGTTCAACAAATACTGCAATATCTACCTGGTTAAAAGGATGTGTGAAAGATAAACAATAATGGCTAACAAGCCATGAACGCTCCCCCGACTCAACACTCCACAGTCACGCCAACAACAATCCACGGACATATCATCACCCTTCACCACCTGTCACCCACACTCCACCGACACCTCACCAAGGTTCCATCGACACGATATCAACCATACACTAACTTAGATCTTTAAGCATAATTATGCATTAAAACAAGATATTATAATCTCTTGTATTCAGTGATTATATAAAGTTTTTGGATCTTTACTTCCGCCTGGGTGATGAATAACTGTTAATTACTCGAAATCAGTGAAATCTTCGCTATTATGATTATTAGAAAACATAAACATACCATCATCACAGGTGGAGACAGCTCAATTTCTTCATATTCATCTCGGGGAGATTCTTCGGTATCTTGGTTACGATGGTTATTGCTTTCAGAAAGTTCCAACTGATGGGTAGCACCCACAGGAACCAATGTTAAACTCTCTTCAGACTGGTCGCTTAAAGGGTAAATAACGACTAAAAATTTCAGTGCGAGGATCAATACCTAAGTTATCATTCACAAGTCTGATTTGATTCATGAACTGCTTATGATATTTAGGAAACAGTCATTATTTATTGCCTGGTGGATTATAGGAATATTACGGCGTGTTATTGGAGGATCAGGTAAATTTTCTAGCGACACAGCCAAAATCTTTTGACTTGACCCTTGAAGACTGGTTCCCGAGGTAACTTATCTTTTTCGACAAGAACAGTGCATTCGGGTAGCAAGTCCATACTTACATGGCTTTGTTCAGAGTGCTAGTTTGTCGGCAATTATTGACAATGCTATTAGCAATACAAAAAATTGTCATACCTTTCCACAACTCTAGGTCTCTCATCTAAGAGAAAGATCGAAAGAAACAAGAATAACATCATTTTTTAAACAAAAATTAATATTTCAATATTAATAAAATGAATAGTCACCACAAATTGCGAAAATGAAGTGTTTTTTGGGGAATTGCAACATGCACCCCGTTCCATAGTTAATATATTCTATACTTTATGAAAACTATAACAAAATTCTCGAACGTAATTGGCTATCACCAGCCCGATTTGAGCACTAATAGGACAGTGTACGTGTCATACTTGTAATTAGACAGTGTAATAGGACAGTTAAAGGGCCAGTTAACACATCATGCCTGTGTGTAAGTGGACAGACTGCTTCATGTGCGCCCGCCGTTGCCTCGCATTTCGCCGAGTTAACTGCTGTTTTTTATGAAAACGTATAACTCATGTCTAGTTTCTTTCTCAAATTTCGTCATAGTTTTGATTTTGTGAATCACTCGTATGATTACAGACCGAACTGGACTCTACTCGTTCGTATAACCATTATTAATGAGGGAGATAATGTGGTCATGTAGATTCAAAAGCATAGCTTTCTTTCAAAGAAGCGCAGTTCATCGGAGAGTCTTGAAAGCAAAGCAACAGCAGTGACAATGGCTCACCAGAAGAAAGGGAAATCGGTAAACTGTCCAAATTGATTGGATTGATTTGTGTAGGGCCCATTTTGCGTTTGAATAATGAATGTAGCGAAGTAAAACAAAACGACGCAATCCTGGATTAGTTTAGACACTTGATTGAAAGTACCCTTGCAAGTTAGAGATAATTTTATATCTTCAAGGTAATTTTGACTACAAAATTGTATTCTAAAACAAATTAAACATCCGAATTGAATGGAATTTTTCTCTTGCGATCCATTTATTTTGAAAAAGAATTTGCAGATTATGATGTATGTATTACCTTTTTTCTGGCGTCTCTTCCGTCGGAATGACCAAGCAATACCGAGGATTACTAAAATGACGAAGAGCACTGTCAGAGATGAGATTAATATCACCCAATCAGGTCCCTCGGCCGATGGAGCAACGGTGGCTAAAAAAAAAAGACTCATTAATAGAGCTCGCTACACAAACGATGACTTGCTCTATATGGCTGCACCAACATTTTACAACTGATTGAAAACAGATCGTTACTTTTTGTATAATCTGTTCAATTACTTAAAATCTTTTCCTCATCCAACTGAAAAAAATCTCATTTGACCTGCGGATGAAAATCAAGTAAGACAATGTTCCTCGCAGATGAGCTGCAATTTTACCAAGTACAGAAAATAATTTTTCATGCTTCTTTTCTGCAACAGTAGTAGTCGCTCCGTAGTAGATGATAGCAGCTTAGTTGGCTGCACACCCCGACTGACTGTTTGACCGACCGACAGACAGAGTGACTAACTGACTAACGGAAAGACCGTGTAACTAGATAACGGACTGGTTATTTGTTAATACGCCGGATGAACTGACCGATGTGTTGATTTAGTGTTTGATTCTTTTCTGATAAAGCACTACGTGCCATACAGCTTCATAGATATAGATAGATATGAGTTTTTTTTCATCATTTGTATGTCGTATACAGCTTTTGGAAAGGTTTGTAGTCAGTTGAAATACCGACACTGGGGATCGATACAACAGAATTAGCACAATAATTATGAAGGTAAACAATAAAATCAATTTCGTATGTCTCACTTTCAGTTGATGTGGTGCTACTAATAGTACTTGCGTTGTATTCCGAGGTACTACTTGTGTATCGAGGGTGTGTAGTACTTGTGTCACTTTCAGTTGATGTGGTGCTACTAATAGCACTTGCGCTGTATTCCGAGGTACTACTTGTGTATCGAGGGTGTGTAGTACTTGGAACACAATAAACTGCTGGAGGAGACCTTCCTTCCAGTGGTTCTGTAACAATAAAAGATAGGCATGACTTTATTTGACTAAATACATCTCATTGAAATAAAGATTGACCAATGTGAAAGTCTAATATTTACCGAACCGATCACATATTAATCATATGTAGTATGGCATGATAGGGCAGCCATGTTACCTTTATTAGACATCCCTTAAAGGATCAATTTAACTATAATGAGGTAATTATTTAGCCAAAGTATACGAATTGAAAACTGAATTAAATTCTTTCCAACAAATACAATGGAACTTGGCTATTAACTAATTTCACGTATACTATATATTGCATTTTCACATCAAAAAATTAATAATTAAATAAATGAAAAAGAAAAAATCATTAATATAAATTATTAAATGTTGATTTACTTTTGCTGCTTGTGGTGTCTAACAACATTACCGAAGAAACCGTTTTTCTGAAAGTGGTCTCGACTAAATGGTGAAAGGAACAGATAACAAAGCTGCAAAGGCTACCCTCGAAAATTTAGGGGAAAAAAACCTGTAAGGGTTAGTGAGATGACATAGAACCAGGAATAATTATTTTGTTTTGGAGATCTTTTAACTTACCTGAGTTGAAGATAACTTCGCTGATTAATATCCATTGTCCTCTGTAGGTAAAGTTGAACCTTACAGACTTCCCTACACGGCGGCACAGGTCAATTGTAACATTGTGGTTTATCGATGATGATGATGGAACGGAAATTTCCTTGGGTTCTTGCATGAGATCAGGTGAAGAACCATTCTGCATTGTCTTACTAAACCTTATTTCAACTCTGGAAAACAACTTGATGTGTATCTGGTCTTTGACGTTACAATGGAAAGTAGCTGAATTGAAGATTCTTTTGTTCAAAAAATCAAATATTATGAAAGGTTTAGGAGTCTCTTTCATGTTCCAGCCAATCCAACCCAATCCGTTATTTACTGTAAGATCTTCATTAGCCAATCGTCCATCAGTAAGCATTCCCAATCCAGAGACTAGACGGCGGCCTTTAGTCAAACCATCATAATTTGAATCACTGAAGTTGTATCTCCCGTCCAGGGAGTTACCTTGGAGTATCTCGTACGTGACAATCGCTAAGTAATAAATAGAAATGTCATTTTAGGCTTTCATTCAACAACGACAGTAACTATTCAGGAAATTATATTTTGTGATAAATTCGCGATATTTTGTTCCATTTTCCTCCCTCTGTTTTCAGAACAATGTATATATCAAGAGAGAGAGAGCTGGCCACAGCTAAGACTAAGACTAAGTCTTCACATTTTTCCAAATACGGACCTCCCGGCTGGTGAATAACATAATTATATGGACATGAATAAATAGGGTAGGATTGCCTATCATACCTCGATCTTAAGCAGGCACAGTGACCTGATCTTTTTCACTGTAGTTTTCGAAACCGACATTGGTGAGGAACGTTTCATGAAAGTTTTTTAAAAAGTCGTTTTATAACTTTTTTTATGAGGAATCACCTTAATGCGAGAGAATATCAACTGAATATCAGGTGGATTACCTCAATTAATTGATATTTGGTAAAGACCTTTCTTCTACAGAAGATATGATATCATGTAACTTACTAATCTTATCATTCAATTTCTAGTCTTGTAAAGTGCTGTTGGATCTTCTGTAGAAACAACGCTGTATATATTATTTATACTATCATTTTTATTAGGTGGAAGTTAAAAGTTTACCGCTTTCTAGTTGACAGCCAAAAAGCTCAAACCTGAGGCACACCTGTCTGCGAGGAGATATCATTGGATAAATTCTTATTAAGTCAGTAACAACTGGAGGTTTCAACTCGGAGAGGCTGTTTCCTTCAAAGACCTAAGGACATGTACAAAAACAGTGCATGATGTTAGCAAATCCCGAACTATAAGCCAAGAAACATTTTAGCTTGCTCACAATTGTTCTGGATACATCTCGAGACTTACGAGATCTCAGTTATATCGGGAAATATCCGGTGATGTTCCCCAGGTTATAATTCCTAATTCTGAAATCTTACACCCGATTCAATAAAAGTCGTTTTTACATGCTTTTTATGGCAGGCAGTAAAGCGTTTTGCTGTTGTTACAAAAGGATTTGCTTTAAAAAAGGGCCAACGCTGGAACGTCAGTCCGTTAGAATCTCGTTACGGAGGCCAATTCACATTATCAAGTCCTTGAAAATAAATGGGCGTGAGTTGATATGGAATTTCCCCTCAAGTTTTCAACCAAATATCTGACGAGTAAGTTAGGCTTACTCGTGAGATATTGAGTAGAATACGAGAAGAGAAATGTCATCTACTTTACAAGCAACCAATATTATTTTGCTTATCATATAAACACCATAGGCATTTACTGACTCGACATTTTCAACAAACGAGCTCGTTTGAGAATGGTGAATGATTTGCCAATCATTCTTGAACCTGACGGAGTGGCGTGAGAGGCGAGTGACGTGTCAGAAGCTGACTGGCGAAATCAAACATAGTTGAATTTATGTAACGTAATTTGCGCTGTTATGGCTTCTTTTAGGGCAGTTTACATAATGAAACCAAAGATCATCTGGCAATGTCCCCACTGCACCACAGTTTCTTTGAAAACGTTCCCCCCAAATCGAAATTTGTTTGCTCACAAGCTTAAACGAAAGTGTACTGAAGTGTTAGCCTCTCACTAAATAAACTGTCTCAACCTCCAAATTGCTGTAGGTCAGTACGTTTTTGTGCTGCACGTGGCAGAATTGTTTTAAGGATAATAAAAGCGGTACTATCAATTTGATTTAAAATTTTCCAGTATTTTTTTCTTTGGACAAAATCTGTTCCAGGCAACCTTGCTGTTTGAAATATAAAAATATAAAATGGTTAACCTACTCACTAGGACAAAGTAAAACGGCACCGTATATCTTTAATATGCAAAAAGCATATAAATAACAAAAAGAAAAAAGAATAAACAAAAAAAAAACATTAAAAATACGTTATTCAGGACCTTAATATTACCACGCTACTTGCAAATAACAGAGGAGGGAAGCCTGAGGTTGAATCTGACATTGATTGTCTCACGAGACCAACTATTCATTCGAGTCAGCAGATAGGAAAGTAATTTAGTCGCCCTCACGCTACATGTAAAATGTCGAACACATGGAAAGATCACTGACTCCTGAAAATGATTAGCAAAATCGCCGATGAGAAAACCGTTTGACATCCGTGGCAATAGTATTCCCTCGGAAATCTACTCCAATTTAAGACTGAAGGAACTCCATCTTGGAGGTTAATTTGGCCGTTGCGAAATAGCATCGTTCTTTAAAAGAGTCGATTGATAAAAAAATCGTTATTGATTAGCGAGCTAAAGCTGCTCATAAAAAATATCATTTTGAGGGTCCTGGAAATGACTTACCTTAGGCCACTGTGAGTGTGATCCTTTATAATACCAACCAAAAATTTTATTGTTTTCTTGATATTGTCTGCAAGCAACCCAGAACTTCCGAATCCTTTCCACACCTCCAGAGCGGGGCTGTGTTATTATTCCTTTAATTCGAAAGGGGCTGGAGAAGTGGACCTGAATAAACTCCTTATAGATAGGACCTGTATCATTTTCATACGGCCACTGATCAGGGCACCACCCCCCGAAGCCATCAATATGATTCAGTCTACCATAAGTAGCAAAAGCTGATGGCAGGGAAGACGTAGCACGAATATCTTCATCTCTGATACCTCCATCTTCCATTCCCAAAGGTGAAAAACAATCTTTAAAAAAGAAGTAAAATCAAAGACAGAAGAGTTACCAAAATACAATAGGGGAGGAGTCCGATACATGGAGAGAGTACCTTTTATATGAACTTCCTTTTTTAACGTTTTTGTTGTTTTGGATTAATGATATTATGGCTTAATGAATTACAAGAGAGCACCGGGAGTGTTGTTTTTGTGGGAGAAGGTTGAATGGTATATTTCGGCGCTAGTTTGATTTTTTGTTTTGGATATTTCGCAGCTAAATTGAAGCACGTCGCGCGATACATTTACATGAACTCGTAAGCCATTTTAAGAAGGGAAAGAATTTTTCGGATAGACTTAAAACAGCGTGATTGGTAAAGAAAGAGCGAAGCACCCGGAAAGTGAATACAAACAGTTTGTGTAGTTTAAAGTCTAATTTATGGTTAGACATAGTTTGATGCTACTCTGGTTTGCAGATTTAATGAATGTAACCGAAGAAGTTACAATTCATAGACCCAACGTTTCGACACTCCTGTCTAGTGCCTTCATCAGGGGTGATCTAAACGCTGCAACAAGTGGTCCTTTTATATGATCACTAATTAGCGGCCTTTTTTCTGGCGAGGTGTAAATAGGCGTCAGGAAGCAAACCACCATCGTCACGATTTAAAGGAGCGTGGGCGGAGTTAATATGCCAAGCCTCCAAACAAAGGCGCTGGTGGTAAGGCCGATTAGCGGTGATAATTTTAGAATTATCCCACCCAATTGTATGGTTAGTTAGGCATGTATGCTCCGATAAAGCTGAATTTTCCTTTTTGCAAAGGAAAACCGCTTTTTGGTGCTCTTTTAACCGTGTACCAAACTGACGTTTGGTCTGTCCGATGTATTCGTTGTCACAGTCATTGCAAGGAATAGAATAAAAGGCGTCGGTTCGTTGTTCTTTCGTGACAGGATTCTTAGGTTTGGCGAAAATATGCCCCAAAGTCTGAAAAGGTTTTTGAGCAACTTTACCGTTGTGGCTATTCAAAATTCTCTTGATGGGTTCCGTAACACCCTGTATGTAAAGAATAACAGCAAAACCAGTCGCTGGTTCCCTTTTATCAAGAGCGTTACTATTTGTAACTGGTTTTTAGCGGTTACGGAGAAAAGTTTTCGTATAGCCATTTGCCTTTAGGACATTGGAAACATATTTCCTCTCCTCAGCCTTCGAATCGAGTGAAGATGGTAGACAGTCAGCCCTCCTAAGTAAAGTTTTGGCTACAGACTTTTTATGGCAAATAGGGTAGTGAGAATCGAAGGCGAGGTATTTGTCGGTGTGGGTAGGTTTACGGTAGACACTTGTCTCTAAATTACCCTGAACCCCTCTGGACACATTTAAATCAAGAAAGAGCAAATGTCTATCCTTTTCATGCTCAAGGGTGAATTGGATCGATGGCTCTACTGAATTCAAATGCGACAAGAGGCGCTCCGCTTCAGTTCCGGATACCGCAGAAATAACATCATCGACATATCGTTTCCAGAAAAAGGGTTTCACCGGTGAAGTGGCTAAGGCCCTTCGTTCCACGTCTTCCATTACCATGTTAGCAATGACAGCAGAGACGGGCGAACCCATTGCTGTACCAAAAACTTGTTGATAGTAGGTGCCGTTATATGTAAATTGCGTGGTTTTGAGGAAAAAAAGACAGCAGATGAATAATATCCTCCACAGGCAAAAAAGTTCTTTGTCCCAGGGAAGTGTCTTCTCGGAGTCTCTTCTCCGCAACCTTAACGGCAAGATCAACTGGGATTTTAGTGAAGAACGAAACAACGTCGAAAGATACTAATTCTTCACGAGCGTTAAGAGTTTTATCTGTTATGAAATCCGCAAATTCGCAGGAATTTTTGACAGTGTAATCAGTATTCCCAACAACAGGCGACAAAATTCTCGCAAGAAATTGCATAAGTCGGAGAATTAACAAAAGAGACAATGGGTCTCAAAGGAATTCCCGGTTTATGATTTTTAGGTAAGCCATAAAAACGTGGACATAAGCCGTCACTACTGTATAACATTTTGTACGTAGAGTCACTAATTTTATCAGCTTTTTTCAAATCAAGCAACATTTTTTCTAACTTTCTTTGAGTTTTACTGGTAGGATCAGAGTTTAAGACAGCATACGTACTCTTGTCATTAAGCAGAGACAAAGCTTTGTAGTGATATTGCTGTTTGTCCATAACCACAACACAATTACCCTTGTCAGCAGATAATACGAGCCTGTCCGGATCCTTTTTGAGAGCTATAAGCGCATTGAAAACATCCTTTTGAATGTTTTTGGGAGGAGGTTTAGCACGCCTGAGTATGCTACTTACTTCTGCTCTTACCAAATGCCTACGATCGTCGTTGAGTTGAGAGATATTCTCCTCAACAGCGGCGACAATTTCGGCAGTCGGTATTTTGCGAGGAGCAATAGCAAACTTCAGACCTTTCTCTAAACCACTCCGTTCCAGCGCGGATAACTCCTTGGAGGAAAGGTTCATGACCCATTTATCTTTCAGAGATAAGCCTGAATTAACAGGAGACCTCTTACTGAGCAAGTGACGGAGTTTTCTGTCGTGTTTCTCTCTCTGTTTGGTAAACGTCTGCAGTTCTTTCGAACCGCAGAACTCCTCGACCCAGGAAGTTTCGGAGTTGTTAATCAAAGCAAGGCCTACTCTGAGACCTTAAGTCGCCTTAAGTCGCCTTAAGTCACCTAAAGTCGCCCAAAGTCGCCTAAAGTCACCTTAAGTCGCCTTAAGTTTCCTTAGGTTGCTATTGGTTATGCAATGTCATAAGGGTTCCACCCTCAGTCCCCAATTGACCCTATCCACTCCACTCCAATCATAGTTTTCTGCAGCTAGAAAAGTAGTTGGAGAGACTGGAAAGGAAGTAGTTTTACGAAGGACCTTAGCATATGGTTCTCAGTATGGTATTAGGGTGTTTTGTCTAACTAAGGCAGAAGAACAACAAATTGGTTGGGTCACTGAAAAGGACCCGTACAATTTTGGATACTGTTGGAAAGGCAGGCGACTTGCCAAACTTTCATGCCAAAATTGACAGTGCAAGTGCCAAAAATATGGGAGACAAGTTTACCAAGATGACAATTTTTATAATTTGTGGAGCTTTGTGAAATAATAAATACACGTAAATAATCATGTTATTTTTTAATTAATTATGTGGAAAATTTATGGATAGTTTCATCAAAGTTGTCTCTTTTCTTAAATTAAAAATTTATGGCAATATGTATATATTTATGATAGGTTTGCTTGATGTTGGGCATGTAATCCATGATGTTTTCCTGACTATTTATTTACTAGCTTTGACTGTACAATTTTACAATAGCTGTTGTGGTAATTCTGTCTGAACATTTTTAGCTAAATTGATTTGAAATCTGGATATTTTAGACTATGGTGACTTATGAGCATACCTAAGTAACCGAAACGACTGTTGTGTTTATTGCAAGGGATTCTGTAGAAATTTTTAAAGTTTATGGACAGACTGTTGCTAACTTTGCTTTTATCGCTTCAGTCAAATAAAATCGCTTTAAGTCGCCTTAAGTCGCCTTAAATCGCCTAAAGTCGCAATATTTTTTGTGCCAATTTTGCTAAAGTCGCCTTAAGTCGCCTTAAATCTCCCAAAGTCGCCAAAAGTTACGGCGACTTAAGGTCCCAGAGTAGGCCTAAAGCAGAGAGTTCACTGAGTGAACGCGAGAATAACGCACGTAGACGCAGTATGGAACTGTGACTATTCGTAGCTTAAGAAAAGAAAAACCAGTACGGACCACGAGCTTGTATCCTTTAGCACTCCATAAAGGAGGCCGAAATCTCAAACTCAATGGAAGCACGTAGTTTTCTTTACAACGGTGATTGAAATACAAATGACAGCGATACTTAGCAATGCGGACTCTGATGTTCGCGAGCCGGTTGACCCTTGTAACAACAGTTTGACCATACTTTGACCATACTAATATAATTTATTGTTGTTTTACAAAACAAAACAGTACAGTGGACATGTAGTTCACCATAGGGTACCTTTGAGTTTGATCTGAAGGCGGAGTGCGATTTTAAAGGAAGTGACGTCAAAGGTTCAACACAGAAACTCACATAACTAATTTTTATTAGGTAAAAAAAAAAATCCTCAAGACTTTTCATGATCGCTGTCCACCTTTAACACCAGTACAAAATTAAACAGAAATAAAAGGAACTGGGCGAGTGGTGCGAGTATTCTGCCATCGTTTGAACCATATGGCTGGGGTTTCTTACGCCGTACTCCGGTAAACAAGCTCAAGCGGGAGAAGAGAGTAATTTGTGCAAAACCGCTGCACAAATGGAGGACTGGAACGAGACAGTAAAAGATTGCAACGTGAATCAAACCAGGCGTCAACGTTTCTTCTTTCCTAGGCGTGATTCGTGTCTAGTCTCCTTTGTACTCGGCCCTTATTTGGTCTCGTCACGCAACACACTCTCTGCCCAAATGCGAAGAGAGTGCGTTGGGTGACGAGACCAGCTTCGAGGGTATCAGTGGAGTGATGGCCTTTATGGCCAACAGTTAAAGTTTTGGTCAATTTTTATTAAAAGTTAATATTTAGTTTTTATCATTCTAAAACCCATTTACGACCCGTCGTTTACTTCTCAGTAAATTTCGGGATCAAAAAAAAAAAACGTAAACAACGTCGTTAATCACGGCACCGTAAGAATTGAAACGAACAAATATAACCACAGGCGGTCCAAGCTCCAACTGTGAGATGATCATCTTGCGAAATAACAGTCATTGCGAAATTATAAGAGTTTGTATGGGAATGTTTACGAACGCTCTAAGGAATAAAAAGATGAGTCAAATTCTCAATAAAAATTACTCACCTTACTTCCACAGTGCATCGCTTGTTATCTGACCGCTTACTACGTTGAAGGGAACCCATTTCAGCGAGTTATCCATTCCGAGATTTTCTACGTACATAAGAAAAGACTTTTCTTTTCTTGAGAATTTGACTAATTTTTTTATTCCTT